AGGGAGAGCTAGCTAGTCAGTAAGGGTGACCAATAAATCTCTCAGTGTATTTTATTCATTTTGTACGCCCTTACTACATCTCAAACAGATTGTGACACAAAAAATTCCAATAAGAATGGATAATAAGGGCTACAAGTGAGAAGGGAGGCCTCAGTTTCTCCAGCTTATCTTGAAGCTTTGCAGGCTCCTCCGCCTTTTCAGCCTGCCAATGTCATCATAAGGTACTTTCCTCTGAAAAGCTAAGTGCTGCCAAAGAGTTGTTGGCTGAACAGATAAGGACACTAACATGCTAGCTTGGCTCATAGTGAGCGGGACAGTGGTACTTTGCTGTCCCCGACTTCTGAGTGGCAGGGGTCCTAGTAAGACAGTGCAGAGAAGTAAACTAGAGTAGTAAGCTTGTCTCTCTGGTAGAACTTCTGTCCTAAAGCTAAGAGTAGAAGCAGGAAACATCCATCGCCTGTGGCATGGAGCATAGACTTGCCACAGAACTGAAGCCATAGGGAAGGACGCCTTGAGAGAATCCAGAGACTGTTAGTGTTGTGTGCTTCCTGATGACCCTACCTGGTAAGATGTCTGTCATCAGCTCTGTCAGTTTCCACTACTAACTCTGAGCCTGCAGCCCCACTTCCACTGGGTTGGGGACAGGCCTAGGATACCAGCTAGTAGCACCTGTGCACAAGGACTACATCTGAAAACAGTGAGAGAAAGCCAGAGACTAGGTGTGGCTGACAGGAAGCCTGCCAGCCTTGTGTGTGTTGGAAGTGGGGCACATCTAAGCTGGAGATGGCTGACAGCGGCCTGTAGTTCTCTAGAGGGGAGGAAAATGGTTACATTCACAAGTTTACATCTGCAGATATCCTTAAATCAGGGAAAAGGAGGTTGCTGCATGATCTGTGTGCTATTAATCAGCAAATGCAGATCATGGGCTCAGTACAGTGAGGGTTGCCGCTTTTATCATCTTTGCCAGCCTCCTGGCCTATAATAATAGATATTATTAAGGTTTGTTTTTTCTCCGTCCACTTGTGTACCAAAGATAGTAAAAAGTTTACATTCACCATTCCATCATGTAATCATGAAGGACCTACCTCTGGCTACAGGACTGACTTCGTGGATTACACCAGTGATGGATCAAATGTATCAAAACATGTTGAATGTGGGCTCAAAGGAGCGGTATGCTGTTTAATCACATGCCACTTTTGTGCTAAATCTGAGCCAGCAGGAAAAGGGCATTTCTCTAGCATTAATTCAGAAAGATGTATTTTTCTTTTATTTGAAAAGAAAGGCTTAGTCCCAGCTGTAAGGCAACATTTTCTCTTAAGGGACTACTCTGTTGCTGGGGAGTGACCTCTCCTAGACTGATGCTTTTCTCCTTGACAGCTGCATTTCCATTGACTTTTACACTCTCCTTTACTACAAAAGGCCCAGCTCAAACGAATTGACTATGATAAGGGCAAGGAATTGTGGAACGTGCTCATTGCACGATAAAAATGTATCTAGAAAAACAAAAGGGGGAATGGGACCTTGGATCTCCAAGATCCCGAATATCTTTAGTCTTATTTACTCTTAATTTTTAAAATTTGGATGTGCATGGCCGAAACGCGGCTGATAGGCACGGACAATGGCCACAACCCCCACAGGAGCAGGCAAGTGGAAGGACGTCTTGACCAGACAATGGAAAGGCCCGGATCCTATAGGATCCAGGGGAGCGGTTTGTGTTTTTCCACAGGAAGAAGACAATCCATTTTGGCTACCAGAGCGACTAACGTGAAGACTCGTGATGACTGAAGATGACACCCCAAAGAATTCATCTGCAGACGCTTCCAGTCCTAATTTGGATCCTCCAGATCTGGGTTCCTAGTATATGGGGAGAACAACGATGGGCTATATTATCTGCTTTTCCTAAACCCATACCTGTTAGACATGATGCCATGGTGTTTACTAATAAAACCATGGGGCTGCCTTATCTTCCCTATGATAAAACGCATGCCCCCCTGGGAGAAAATCGTTCCTTGCCTGAATGGGGTTCTCTCTGTTTCCAGATTACTGAGACAAGAAACTGTATAACTCTCTCGAAGAGAACCTTGGGGTGGTTTTATGAAAAGAGAAGCTGGGTTAAATTAACAACCAAAAAGAATAATAATGAAAAGGACAATAGTTGTGTCAAAGAGTTCTCACAGTCCTTTTTACAACCAGCCATTTGGATAGATAGAACATTTTTATCACCCAAACTTATTGATGGAGAACATCTTCATTAACCTAAGGTCTCTCTCTCTTTTGTAGTCTAGAAGATGAGAGAGTTGTTCTGCCTTGGTCTGATTGTCAATCCAGAGTAATACGATGGGCAGATACCAATGAAACTTTTTCCTTTTCACCCAATATGCTGGGAGATCTTGGAGCTGACGCGATAATGAGAAAAGGTCCTTTTCTACAGAGCATTAGTATAAATCCTTTTCACAAATGACTACTCTGTAGAGTTAATGGCAGTTGTACCGACCTCAACCCGCTAGCCTTTCTCCAGAGTGGAGAGGCAGGAAGAACATCCTTTACAGGAGTTATTAATGGAACTATGGTGAAACAGAGTTCAGATCCGATCCCTCAGTTGACAAATCCTATTCAGTTAATTACTGGAGTTAACAAGAATGATTCATACATGATGTCTCAGTGTTGGGCAGTTAGACAAGCTAAACGTGCCATGGTTGCCAGAGTGCCACGATGGGTTCCTGTTTCTGTTGAAACACCCTCTATTCTATCATTATTCAGACAAAAAAGAGACTTTGGCATAACTGCAGCCATAATGACGGCGATATCAGTTAGTGCCATTGCGGCTACAGCTGCTGGGATTGCTATGACAACTAAAGTTCAAACAGCAGCAGCCTTAAATCAGCTGTCCGCTACAGTGACAGAGGCACTCTACGAGTGCTGAATTAAAAGGCAGATTGATGATTGTTAATCAGCGCCTAGATTTGGTAAAAGAAAGATTAGACATTCTTTTTCAATTGGCACAATTGAAATGTGAAAGAAAACTGGGAACACTCTGTATTACTAGTGTTCAATATGAAAACTTTACTCAAACAGCTAATTTATCCAGACAATTGTCTCATTACCTAACAGGAGAATGGTCAGAAGGATTTGGTGAACTCCTTGAGAAGTTGCGAGTAGCGGTGATGGCCATCAACTCAACACGCATGGACCTGTCGCTGACTGAAAGACCTTCTTCCTGGATTTCTTCAGCCTTCCCCTTCTTTAAGGAGTGGGTGGGAGTAGGCCTGTTTGGTACAACCCTGTGTTGCAGATTAGTGTTCATACTCTGGTTGGTTTACAAGCTCAGAGATCAACGAAAACGTGACAAAGCCGTGATTACCCAAGCACTTGTGGCCTTAGAACAAGGTTCATCTCCCGAAATCTGGTTATCTATGTTAAAGAAATAGCGAGCAAACAGATCCATCAGCCGCTACACCCCAAGGGCTCAGCCCATTACATTGGGTCGATGAGGAGTTTTAGCCTGACTGGTCTTGTCTGTGTAGCTCTGGTACCTGAATTTTGAGACAAACAGCCCTTGCACCCCTAGGAGATGACTCCATTGCACAGGGATGGGTGTTTGCATCTCTTTCGATTTCCCTAGCCTTTGCACCCAGAGGACTTGTTTCCATTGCACCTGGTAAGGTAGGGGAGACTGTATCAAACTATTAGTCCTTGATCGCTTATTCCCCCATGATGGAAATTGCTTGATCGGGCTTGAGTTTGAGTCATATTGGTACTGTGCCAGACGAACCAAGGGCAACTCCATCTTTTCGACTCCAGGCCAGCTGCCATTGGTCCCAACGACGGGAATAGGTTGATGCCATATGCCAGAGGTACACCACGAGCTGTGAGTTTACCCCATGACAGGCATTACAAGTGGCCACAACTTGGGTGCACATTCTTGCTGACAAGAATGCCAGGTGTGGGTACAACCCTCGTAGCCTAAGATAAGGAGCTCACCATTCTTTGGTGCTGGCTATGGAAGAACGTCAACTAGCCTAAGACACGGGAAATGGCCAGTGCCTGTGATTCTCATTTAAAACAAAAAGGGGGAGATGTTGATGTAGAGAGCCGTGGAAGGCAGAGACAGCGCTGACAATCCGATGCTCTCACAAGTTCTATAATTTATTGCCTTTGTGTAAGGGGAAAGCACAGAAAGTCACAGCCCATCCCGGGGCATATAAGATTTTATGGGCAATTAACCAACCAGATATGTACACGTCGCTCCAGGGGGTATTTAACAGGGGGTATTTAACCAGGAACCCTGAGTGATAGTCCTCCACACTTCCCAGGGCTCAGGTTCCCATTACAAGGGACATAAGTGTAGAAGGTCTCACAACTGTTTTAACTGCCTTAGACGCCTTACTGGTAGAACGGTGGGCTTGATGGGCGAAATAACAGTTGGAAATTTGTTGTAACAATAAAATAAAGAAGGGGGAGATGTCGGGAGCCGCATTCGCCATTGCAAAATGGCGCCGGCTCCTTGAGGGAGCCAAGCTGAATGTGCGCATGCGCAAAGAGTAAAAATTACTATGCTAATTAAGCCTCACTCCAAGAGCACTCTAAGAGCCAATGAGAAATGAGTATGCTAATTAGGCATCATTAAGGAGCCAATGAGCATGCAGTAAGTGCTCCCAGGACTCTATATAAGCCCATGGGTTCTGGGGCTCTGGGTCCTTCGCCACTACCATCTAAGAGAGCTGTAACACCATCTAAGAGAGCTGTAACACCATCTAAAAGAGCTGTAACAAGTAAACTGCGTGTCAGAAGAATCCTGAAGTGTGGCGTGTTCTCCTTTTCGGCGAGGCGGCGCGTCACAAGCATGAACTGCTCAGGAGGATCTGGAAGGGAGGGCACCCCAGGGACCTCATCATTGGCCCAGGGCTGCATGTGGGTTTAATAACTACTATTACTATATAATAACTAGCTAGTTAATATAATAACTAGCTACTAGGTGGCCTGTTTTACACTAAGCTCAGAGTTTCCTGGGCTTTTGTGCCGTTCTGTATGAACTGGAAGGGTTCACAGGACCCTTGTGTACATGTTTGGTGTCTCCGTGGACAAGAGAAAGGGAGATCTACAGTTTGTCTGGGTCCTTGCTCAGGTTCAGTGGGGCTACACAAGAAAGAAGGCCACAGCCTGGGGAGCTCCTGGTCAAAAAGAAGACACAATTCCAGCACCAGGAACCCTTCAGGAACTTTTGGGGGGCTCCGGCCTAGAGCTCCTAGGAAGGCTTCACAGTGGGTACCACCCAGGCAGGGCCAGCAGGCCTGAAAGCTTCCTCTCCACAAGGCTGTCATCCTACCCACAAGGAAATGAAGAGTGACTGGGCGCCAATCAGAATGAAGCCTGGCCCTGCGTCCTGAGCCAGACTCAAGCAGGGGTCTGTCATGGCAGCCTGGCAGTCATGAGATCCATGCCTCACCCGGGGTTCCTCAGCTCGCCTCGGCTCCTTCAGATTCTTTCAGTTTCTCGGTGGCTCCAGGAACAGAACTAAGAAAGGTTGGAAACAAAACAGCTAGACACAAAGAAAAGCAGAAGTGGGTGTCTCAGAGACTGGCTGTCCCCCCAGCGGGGCTGAGCTGTGGAACGTCCAGCCGTGGCCTGTCTGCCGGTGACCTATGTGTGGGAGAAATGACCCAACTGCCCTCAGCTCTATGGCTGCCCACGCTGCTGCTGCTTTTCTGGCTTCCAGGTGAGGAGGCGTCTGCCCGGGAGGGCAGGGGTTGGGTGGGGGGAGGCTTGGGGAGATGATGTGAGAGGCACTGGAACCGGGATTCCTCTGTGCACAACACGGAATGTGGCAGCTACATCCTTCCTGTAAGGTGGATTACCAAAGTGGGGAAGGGACGGGGTCTTGCTCTGCAGACAGCTGTCAGAACAAGGGACAAGTCACACATGGTGGGGGCTGGGGGCTGCCCAGGAGGCTTGTCCAGAGGAATTTTGGATGGTTTAGAGTAGAAAACAGGAGGGCAGGGCAGATGATACCAATGAGAGTGGACAGTGGTCGTGTTGAGAGGCCCTGAGAGGCACGTGCTGATGGTGATGTGTGTGAAGAAATTTAATCTTTCTTTCTTTCTCTTTCTTCCTTCTTTTCTTCCTTCCATTTTTCTTTCTTTCTTTCTTTCTTTCTTTCTTTCTTTCTTTCTTTCTTTCTTTCTTTCTCTCTTTCTTTCCTTCTTTCTTTTCTTTATGTTTTCCCCCCTCTTTTTGTTTTTTCAAGACAGGATTTCTCTGTGTAGCCCCGGGTGTCCGGGAACTTGCTCTGTAGATCAGGTTGACCTAGATCTAGAGACCCACCTGTCTCTGTCTCCCAAGTGCTGGGATTAAAAGATCTGCTAGTCTTTTTTTTTTTTTTTTTAGATTTTTTTTTTCATTTTCTTTTTGGGATAGGGTATCACTGATTATCCTTGAATCTCACTATGTGGACTAGGGTGGCCATGAACTCAAAGAGACTGCCTTTCTCGGCCTCCAGAATACTGGGATTAAAGGTGTACACCACCACACCCCACAGACTTCTTTTTTTGTTTTTTTATTCTTTGAAAATTTCATTATATGTAAATAATGTGGTTTAACCATAACTTCCCCCAAGTCAATTCAATACACCCCACTCCAACTTTGTATTATTTGTACTTTTCTTTTTTTCTTCCTTTCTTTCTTTCTTTCTTTCTTTCTTTTTTTCTTTTTTGGTTTTTCGAGACAGGGTTTCTCTGTGCAGCCCCTGGCTGTCCTGGAACTCACTCTGTAGACCAGGCTGGCCTAGAACTCAGAAATCTGCCTGCCTTTGCCCCCTAAATGCTGGGATTAAAGGCGTGCGCCACCACCACCTGGCCTTATTTGTACTTTTTAAAAATAGCCATGGAATGGTTAGCACTGGCTCTATGCACGTGGGTGTGGGGTCATCCACTGGGGAAGGGACAACCTGTCAATAGCCACACCCACAAAGAAGAAAATCTCTAATCCAGTACTCTGGAGGCAGAGACAGGCAGATCTCTGTAAGTTTAAGGCCAGCCTGTTCTATAGAATAAGTTTCAGGCCAGCCAGGGCTACATAGAAAAAAACTTGTCTCAAAATAAATAAAGGAAGAAGGAAAGAGAGAGAGAGAGAGAGAGAGAGCGAGCACCAGCCAGTGGTTTCATCTGGATTTACACACTTATTTAGAGAGTCTTGAAAAAATTATCTTGTCTATTTTTCCCTTTATTTTTCTTCTTTTTTCCCCCGTTGGGATTTAAGGGGATTTGAAAGTGCCCTGCTAAGGGAAGAGGTGGAAAGGTAGAAAGCCAGCCATCTACTTGGGGGTGGAGGAGCATCCTTGCAAGCCAGGAAAGGCACAGGAGGGCTGGGAACTGGTGTTTACTTACTAAGCATGTCAGGACTCAGGAAATGGCTTAGTGGAGAAAGTAAGTGGGCACCTGAGTTAGGATTCCAAGCATCCATTGAGAATTGAGTTTGCTATACATGTGTGTCCCCAGAGCTGGGGATGCAGAGAAGAGTGGGACTCAATGCTCCTTCTGGTCTCTGTAGGCACTGTGCTCCTGTGCACATACGTGCACACAGACACACATACACATAATTAAAAATAAAATCAGGGAGAGATGGCCCAGTGTTAAGTTTACTTACTGCTCTGGGTTTGGTTTTCAAAACCCACACAGTGGTTCAGAACTTTAGAATTATCATTATATTAATATTGATTCATAAATTAGTACAGTAGCAGTTATTTCTAACCGCGGCTAGTTCCCCAATAACCACAGAGAGAGACCGAGATCTATTAAAACTGCTTTGAGCCAGAAACTGAGCAAGCATTACTCCATTCTAAACCTCCAAGCTAGTCACGCCTCCTCCCAGACAGTATTCCCATTTATTTGAACTTCTGTCCTCTCCTGATGTTTTCTCTACCTCCCTCATGGCTCCCTTTCACTTCCTCCTAGAATGGGAAGTCCCACCCATTCTCTCCAAAGCTCTGTATTGGCTCGTTGGCTTTTATTGGCAGGGCAGAGAACGAATGAGGAACACTGTTTATGCAAACTTGAGACAGGAGCTTCTAAGAATAAACATAGCAATGCCATGTCTGGATTGAAACAAGCTATGAGGGCAGAGAAGTCAGCGTTTGAATAACACAAGGGTAAACCTTACACGGTGTACAAAAACATTATGCCCACACACAACCACCTGTAACTCTGATTTCAGGGCTTCTCACACCCCCTTCTGGCTTCCATGGGCTCCTGCATGTGTGTGGTGCATATAAACTCACACACGTACACACAAGCACACAAAAATAATAAACCTTAAAAAAACAGAACCTCAAAATCAGTGAGATAAACCTAGGTTTAGAAAGCAAACTCTCCCATTTTCCTGCCCTTCCCCCTAACTCCAGGAGGTCACAGGGTCATAAGGGCATTGAGGGATCTGGGTATACAGCTGGCCACCTCTTCTGCTCTGATCATATTCTTGTGGGGGTGAGGGTGGCACATGGGGGTGTGGCTATTCCCCAGGCTCCTGAGATGCCCAGAGCTGAGTTTGAAAACATGAGGTCCTAGTGGGTGAGAAGGACTGAGAGGATTGGGGTGAAGGACAGAGCAGGGCAGAAGGGACAGGTGCTCAATGGTGATTGGCTGATGGGAGGTGATGGGATGGATGGAGGGTGGAGCTTTTGGAGGCCTTACTCCTCATCCAGCTGTGAGGTGCAGAATGGAGGTTTTGTGTTTTCCAGGCTGTGTCCCTCTGCATGGCCCCAGCTCTGTGACAGGAACTGTGGGGGAATCACTGAGCGTGTCCTGTCAGTATGAGGAGAAATTCAAGACTAACATCAAATACTGGTGCAAAGTATTATTTTTGCTACGATGTAAAGATATTGTCAAGACCAGAGGCTCAGAAGAAGCCAGGAATGGCCAAGTGTCCATCAGGGACAATCCAGACAACCTCACCTTCACAGTGACCTTGGAGAGCCTCACCCTGGGGGATGCAGGCACCTACATGTGTAGGGTGGATATACCATTTTTGGATGACTCCTTCAACATTGATGACTCCTTGGGGATCGATAAGTACTTCGAGATTAAGTTGTCTGTGGTCCCAAGTGATGACCCAAGTAAGTCCCCATAATAAGCACTGTAGCACCAGGACAGCTGAAAGTGGCAGGAATTTCTGGAGCAGGAATCAGCTCAGAGCCTGAGAGTATGTTATGTGTGGTGAGGGGCAGTCAGAGACAGAGCCACAGCCAGGGAGGCATCCTGGAATAACTGTTTCTTGTGAGGAGGAAGGTGCTGGTCTGTCAGGAGATAGGAGGTGGAAAGGGCAGAGTGTAGTCAGGACAATTCTGTATCTTGTCGGGGTGAACCATGAAAACTAGAGTTCATGGGTGTGTTGGGGGCTGAACAGTGGTCAGCAGGGGACAGATGGTGACAGTGCTGTGTTCAGAGGGAGTTTTCACTAGTGAAACAGCCAGCTTTACAGTTAGCTGTCTCTGGCAGCATGTGGCTGAGGCTGAGGGGGAGCAGACCTGGTGTGTGGTTTTGCCTCAGGTGGATTGTGGTGGCAGCTGCGTCATGTGACCAAATGATCAACTGATTTAGGAGGATTCCCCTACTCGATCTTTCCTTTGTACTAAAACAGCTCAAAAACAACCTATTGACAGCTGATCAGGGTGGTGTATGCCTGAGATCTTAGCACTCAGGAGGTGGAGGCAGGAGGATCACAAGTTCAGGATAGTCAGGGCTATAAACTCCATGTCAAGACACTGTCTCAAAAAGTAAAAGAAAGAAAAGGAAGGAAGAGAAGGAGGAAGAAAGGGGGAGGGAGGGAGAAAGGGAGAGAGAAAGAGAGGGAGCAAAGGAAGGAAGAAGAAAGGAAGGGAAGGAAGAAAAGGAGGAAGGAAGGGAGGGAAGAAGAGAGGAAGGGAGGAAGAGAGGAAGGAAGAAGCCCCTAGACACTGGCAGAATCTGAGGAGACTAACTAGTTCTGATCTGTAGTTTCATCTCCAGGACCAACACTAGAGACACCTGTCGTGTCCACCAGCCTGCCTACCAAGGGTCCCACCCAAGGACTCACCACAGAGGGCCACCATGAGCATCGTGAGCCCCAGGGCTTGGGGTAAGGCAACCTGGTTCCTGACCTGGAGGTGTCCACCTCAGCCTTGTTGTCCCCTTAAGTGAAGGGCTACCAGAAGTGTGAGGGCTTGTGGCGAGACACCTTGGTTCCTGACTTGAAGTTAGACCTTCTCCTGAGAGGGGCTTAAGTAGGTATTGTGGCCGTGTGCGCATGTCATACCCCGCTGGCTAGAACCTCTTGTACCCTGGGTTGTGGTCCAGATAAGGAGGAGGTCATAAGTCACTGACCATGCTGGGCCGGCCTATGATGAAGGTATGGAGAGTTCAGGCTGAGGAGGACCCAGGGAGTCAGGAGAGGAGAGCAGAATGAAAAGGATTGGTGACATCCTGTCAGGCATGGCGCAGTGCTTCACAGAACACTTTTTCATACTTTGTAAAGATCTTCATGTTACCACACACCATTTTTCTATGGCTGTGATAAAAAAAAACCACCATGACCAAGGCAACTTATAATTGAAAGCGTTTATTTGGTTTAGAGTCCATGACCATCATGGTGGGGACATGGCAGCAGGTAGGCCAGCATGGCTCTGGAGCAGTAGTGGAGAGCTTATGTCTTGAGACACAGCCACAAGACAGAGAGAACTAGCTCGGAATGTTGTGGGCTTCTGAAACTACAAAGCCCTTGCTCCCCAGTGACACACCCCTCCATCATGGCCACACCTCCTAATCCTCTCCATGCAGTTCTACCCACTGGGGACAAAGTAGTCAAATATATGAGCCAATGGGGGTCAGTCTGATCCAAATCTTCACACCACGCTATTTTTCAGATGAATAAACTAAAGCTCAGAGCCAAGATGCTGCCTTGTTATACAGCTAGCATAGAAGATGCAGGGCTGGGCTCAACCTTACATGACTCCACATTCCAGAAACCGGGGAGACACCAGCTCCACAGTCCGCAGACTGTGTCTGCAAAATGTCTGCAGACTCTCCCAAGAAAACTTCATGCAGTCATCAACCATTTCCAGGGTTCAGATGCTCCACTCTGACCCCGTAGGCACTGCAAACTGGAACTGACTGGAGTTAGTCTGGATCCTGTAGGTTAAAGGCTCTGGCCACTTGTTCTCCTAGCTTTTAGCTGTCATTGTTGAGGCTCCCAGGAGGCTTCCTTGAGTTCAGGAATTCACTGAAGTCATCGCCCACAGAAGTGGTTTTATCATAAAAGATATAGATCATGAGGAGACAGACAATTGATGACAGAGCAAGGCAGAATGGGAGAATCCCAAGCAGAGCCTCGGTACCCTCCATCTCCTGGGTCTGGGTGCATCACCCTCCCAGAGGCCTCTGTGTGTCTCCACCAAGAGCTCCTGCCATCTCCTTTCCAGGGATCTTACTGGGCTGTCATGAAGTAGGCATCACAGGCTATATCTCCAGCATGTGGAAGAGCTGACCTTCAGCCCCTCCCCTCTCTGGAGGCTGGGCAGGTTAGGCTCCTGTCGAATCTCTGACCCCACGTTGGTTCCTGGTGAGCAGCCTCATTCTGTCATCTCACCTCTTAGCTGTGTACAGGCTTTTGACATTGTGACAGAACATTGTTATCTATATAGTTCACACTCAAGAGCCATGCCATCAAGGTACAAAAATATCAGAAAAAAACAAAACAATTAAACAAAACACAAAGCAAAAACGACCACTCCCGACACTTCACCGTATTTTAAGTAAATTTACAATTTGGTGTTGGGCTGTATTTATAACTACGCAGGACCTTAGCCGGGCAGTGGTGGCGCACGCCTTTAGTCCCAGCACTTGGGAGGCAGAGGCAGGCGGATTTCTGAGTTCGAGGCCAGCCTGGTCTACAGAGTGAGTTCCAGGACAGCCAGGGCTATACAGAGAAACCCTGTCTCGGAAAACCAAAACCAAAACAAAACAAAACAAAAAAAACTACGCAGGACCAAATGCATGAGATCCGTAGACTGAGGCCTGGATGCTCCTATAAAGTACCATTCCGATGTCATTCACAAACAACAAAGGAGTTCCTATTAGCAAATTCCCCAGCACTAGGGAGGGATGTCCAACCTTTGGAGATTGTGACATGATGTCGTGGTCTACAGATGTGTTTTCCACATTCAAAGCTATCCTGGGTCACACATGGCCTCTCTCCTAGGATCCAGGGATCAGGGCCTGTCCTCTCCTCACTACCCAACACCTAGAAATGCTCCTACAAGTTTTCTGCCAACCTAGAGCCACGATGTGGCTGCCAGACAAGGCAAGATGCAGGACCCAAGCATGCTGCTTTCAGAGGTTCACTTGCAGACATTCACGGCAGGTGGGGCCCGCTTTGTCGGGGCTGAAAGCTTGTGTGCAGTGTGTGTGTGTGTGTGTATCTGTGTGTGTAAATCTCTCTGTGTGTAAATCTGTGTGTATCTATGTATGTGTGTGTATCTGTCTTCATGTATGTATCTATGTATGTGCATGTATCTGTGTGTGTGTGTGAGAGAGAGAGAGAGAGAAAGAGAGAGAGAGAGACAGAGAGAGAGACAGAGAGAGAGGGAGATTTAGATATATAAGCCATTATGTTGTTGACCTTTATAAATTTTTTTAAAAAGATTTATTTATTTATTTTATGTATATGAATATACTGTCACTGTCTTCAGACACACCAAAAGACGAGTATCCAATATTCAATCTGGTTGTGAGCCATCATGTGGTTGCCAGGAATTGAACTCAGGACCTCTGGAAGAGCAGTCAGTGCTCTTAACTGCTGAGCCATCTCTCCAGCCTCTATAAATTTTTATTTATTTATTTTTTTGATACAAGGTCTGACTACATAGCCTTGGCTAGCCTGGAGCTCACTGTATAGACCAGGCTGGCCTTGAACTCACAAAGACCTACTCCTGCTTCCTGAGGACTGGGGTTAAAGTTGTGGATCAGCACTGCCAGCTTTATGAAGTTTTAAAGGTTATTGTTGTATGTGAGGGAGTGTTCCTATGAGCATAACTTTCAGGAGTCAGTTCTCTCCTTCCTCTGTGGCTTCTGGGGTTTGAACCTATGGCCTCAGGCTTGCATGGCAAACTCTTATCTACAAAGTCATCTTACAGATTCCTTAAAAAAAAAATTAACTTTATGCATTTGTTTTGAAAGTCAGGGCCTGGTGATATACTCAGGGGCTGTATAGAGCTCTTGCCTAGTATCTGTAAGGTCGTGAGTTCGATTTCCAGCCCTGAATAATTACTCTCTCCCTGTATAGGCTCCCAGTGCTGCTGTCCGTGTTAGCTCTCCTGCTGTTGCTGTTGGTGGGGACCTCTCTGCTGGCCTGGAGGATGTTCCAGAAGCGGCTGGGCAAAGGTGAGCTAGTCCCCTGTGTCTTCCTGTCCTTGCTCCAGGGTAGGCAGATTCTGGCCACAGTCTTCCACCTTCCTGCTTTGTCCCCAGGTTTTAGAGCAGGCACTGAATTAAGCACACACCCTCAGGGTGGAGGGAGAGTGTGTGTGTGTGTGTGTGTGTGTGTGTGTGTGTGGTGGGGGAGGAAGGAGCAGAGGTCTTTGCAGATAGCTCCCTAGAGGCCTTTCTCCTGGGGCCTGAGTGGCCTCTTCAGAGCTATATCTTCTTTGGTTAAAACCTTGCTTGGCTTCCCACACTCTCAAGAGACTCTGCAGGGCTGTTAGGCCTCCAGTGTGTCCAGCCTGCCTTGTTCCTTCTCATTTCTTGTGACTTTTGGTCACATGAGGGAAACCCTCCCCCTCTTCCCCCACTCTCCACCCTCCTGAGCTTCTGCTCCCACATATCACATGGGACTTCCCCAATGTGGACAACCCCAGTTCTGCGAGTCCCAGTATACTTTTTGGGTGCCCTTTCACCTAGAAACACTGTGGCCCCACACTTCCTTCTTAAGAACGGTATGAGAGGGGTTGGTTCATCTAATCCCAGTGCATGAGAAGCAGAGGTGATAGGATTGCAGGGAGTTCATGGGCACACAGCACTACATAGGGAAGACTCTGTCTCATAGAACAAAACAAACCAGGAGGTAGAGGAGCACGCCTTTAATTTCAGCATTTGAGAGACAGAACCAGGGGGATCTCTATGAGTTTGAAGCCAACCTGGTCTACAGAGTGAGTTTTAGCACAGCCAGGGCTACACAGAGAAACCCTGTCTTAATAAAACAAGCAGACCAAACCAAAACAGCAGAAAAGGAGGGACGAGGAGAGGATTTCTGTGGGGAACTTGAAACATAATTAAAAGCAACAGGAAAGAAATTACCTGAGGTACATGGTAAGTCAAAATCCCACCACCAAGAGCCAGGCAGAGGTGGCACACCTTTAATTCCAGTACTTGGGAGATAGAGGAAGGTGAATCTCTGTGAGTTCAAGGCCAGCCTGGTCTACATAGTGAGTTCTAGGACAGCCAGGACTGTTACATAGAAAAACCCTGTCTTGAAAACAAAAACAAAAAACAAAAAAGAAATCCCACCACTCAGAAAATAAACCACTGTGCTGGAGATGTGTGAGTTCCTGCAGGTCTTTTATTATGCCTATGTGAATTCTTTAAAGTATTTTTCCATGTTTTAATTATGAGCAAATGTGTTATACGTGTGTGTGAGTGTGTGAGTGTGTGAGTGTGTATGTGTGTGTGAGTGTGAGTGAGTGTGTGTGTATGAGAGTGTGTGTGTGAGTGTGTGTGTATGTGTGTGTGTGTGTGTGTGTGTAGAGCCCTTGGAGGTCAGGAGTGAGCATTAGATCCCTTGGAGTTGAAGTTACAGGCAGTTGTCAGATGATCAGTGTGGGTGCCAGGAACCAATCTTGGGTCCCCTGGAAGGGCAGCCAGTGTTCTTCATGACCAGGCAAAGTGGCTCATCCTTCTACTCTCAGCACTTGGGGGGCTGAGGCAGGAGGATTAGGGGAGATTTTAAGAGCAGGCTGGGCAACATAGCAAGACCTTGTCTCAAAACAAAATAAAAAACTTCATTCCATTTAAACCTGTCATTTTGCATTTAGACATATTATATATATAGCATTTCCACTATTGTTGAATGTTCTAGAAACCCCAGACCTATGGCTGAAGTCTCCAGGGAAAGTCTTTCTCAGATAGAGTAGCACACCCCTTCTTGGTCCACAGCTTCACCTCCTCCTTCTCTTCCTCTAGCTGATAAACATCCAGACCTGTCCCAGAACATCAGACAGGTAAGGGACAGAGCCAGGGTGACTGAGTGGGGAGAAGGTAAGAGGAGGCTGTGGGGGAGCCACTGGGCTGGTAGAAGTGACTGGTCTGTTACAGGGAGATGGAATTGTTCCAGAACAGGAAGACTAGCACCTGGAGATCTAGTCACCAAATCTCAGTGTGTTCCCCTCTTGACAGGACAGTGGGCTTGGAAGAAGGGAGGGTCCTCGGGAATGCCTTTGTGACACCCAGAGTGTAGTGGCGGGGGTGGGGGTGGGGGAGATGTGTTCAGAGAAGGAGGGCAGTGGGAGGGAAAAGGAGGGTTGGGAGGGAGGGACTCCATGATGACACTTCTTGACCTTCTACAGGCTGCTGAGCAGAGTGAGACCCAGTATGTGAATTTGCAGCTACGCACGTGGTCACTGAGGGAAGAGCCGGTGCTACCAAGTCAAGTAGAGGTGGAATATAGCACACTGGTAAGTTGGAAAGCCTGGCTCCCTTGGTGTGAGGATCCCGGGCCATGTACGGGTATCACATAGGATGGGGATGGGCAGAAGGGGAATGGGCTGCTGGCTCAGGCAGCGATACAGAAGATGGGGCAGGTGGAGACTCAGCGAGAGCCAAGGCCCTTAGAAGAGCCATGTGTCACTGTAGCTAGGAATAGGAAGTGGGATTATAGGAGTGGCCAACATCTATGGTCTTGACAGTTAATACATCAAAACCAGTAACTTCACCTTCCGTTGGTGCCCCCCGCCCCCATCATTTTGGAATCAATTCTGCTTTAGAGGTGTGTCTAGGACCCACCATTTTACAGGAAGGGTCAAACAGAAGCTGAGAGAGATACAAACATCAAAGGCTTTCTGGGGAGACTTCTTTCCCTCTCCTCCAAGCTCAGAGCCCTCTGAACCCTGAGGGATGCCATGGTTTAGTGACAGGAGATGGGTAACATATACTGCTCTGAAAAAGTGACTCATCTAAATGAGTTCACTCTGACCCAGTCAACCCAGGCTGCTGATCCTGCTCCATGGGGGGATAAGGAGAGGTTCTGTCCCACATCCATTCAGGATGACCCAAAGCTATGACCTCCCTTCACTTGTGCCAGTGTCTTTAAAAAAAGACTCATTTATTTTTATTTCATGTGCATTGATGTTTTGTCTGTGTATATGTCTGTGTGAGGGCATCAGATGCCCTGGCCTGGAAGTGAGTTACAGACAGTTGTAGGCTGCCATGTGGGTGTTGGGAATTGAACCCTCATTCTCTAGAAAAGTACCCAGTGGTCTTAACCTCTGGACAGTCTCTCCATCCCTACACTAGTGTCTTTTGAGGATAAGTTATGGGCAGGGAACCCAGTGTCCTCATTTTAAGCAGCTGTTTGTCTATAGTTAGATGGTGCCCAGCCTTGCCCCTTCCTCCGTCATGTGACATGTTCTCATGCCTTCCCAGCTATGGGACCAGCAACAACCTGGCATCACCTGGTAGCTAATGATTGCAAATCAGTTGGCTGGAAGCTAACTTCCTTTCTCCCTTGGGACAAGTCAGCTGGTGACATTAGAAGCATTCTACCATTGTGGCTACTTCTGCTGGCCATGATATACCCAGCATCAGGACTTCCCACTGTGGCTTGACCAGGTGGGCCAATGAGTCCACTTCTGGACAGTTGAGGTTCGGGATATGTACCCTTCTCCTCTTGGCCTGAATCTGTGGTCTCTTTCTACAGGCATTACCCCAGGAAGAGGTTCACTATACATCCGTGGCATTCGACCCCCAGAGGCAGGATTCTCAGGCCAATGAGGATGCCCGTCGTCAACCTCAGGACCCAAAAGCAGTGTACAGTGAGATCCGGAAGCCCAGAAAAGATCTCTCTGACCCTCACCTGTGACTCCTTGTCATCTGATCCCTTCAATGGTGACTACCAGGTTCCCAAGCTCCCTGCTGGCTGCTGCCCTCAATGTCACAAGCCTCACTGGCTTCACTAAAGATGGGCAGGAGCTAGGACTCTGTGGGCACATCCCACTGGCTCTCTCCTCTTAGCCTACATTTTGTTCTGCCTCTGGGTATGGAAGATGTAGATGCTGCTCCTTTGGGGCTCTGGGGAGTGACATTGTTTATACAGAACAGTACTTGTGTTAGCTTTGCAGTGTCAGTCCAGGAAGAACATCTGTGGTCACTGGGAAAGTAGAGAACCAGCGAGGACCAATGAGACTACAAAGGAAGGGGAGTCATGGAGGCACTAAACATCAACTACCTGTCATGGAGGCACTAAACATCAACTACCTGTCTCACAGAGATAAGCTCTAAGGACAGGAACCTGGTCCACAGCACCAAGGTCAGGGGCAAATTCCTCTGGACTCATTTTTATTTTTTTGTTTTTCGAGACAGGGTCTCTCTGTGTAGCTTTGGCTGTCCTAGAACTCATTCTGTAAACCAGAATGGCCTTGAACTCACAAAGCTCTGCCTATGTCTGCCTCTTTGAGTGCTGGGACTAAAGGCATGCCTGGCTTCTCTAGACTCTTAAGTAAAAGCTGAAATGAAGTTTATAATGTCTTTTTAAAGGGACAAGAAATGGTTTAAATAGTATCCGTTACATGCCTGTAGCCCCTTATTAAAGTTCAGCTTTGAAATCAGAGGAGTCTTTAGGGTACAGGGTTTGGGAAGGACACGCCTACTGCCGTTCCCAATGGAACACACAAGTGTTTTCTTACCAGGGTGATTTGAAACTTGAATCCAAAGGCGACTGTATTTCCAGGTTTCAGACTGTATTTAAGCCACCAATGGCTTAAAAATTGTATCTGCCCAAGTGATTTTTCTTACAACTCTTAACACTGTGCCAGAAGCAACTCCAAGGGTAAGTTGTCCCCAGAGTGGTAGGATGGTGGCTATTTGTGACTTCTTTGAATTTTTTTTTTAAAAGCCATAATTCTTGCTGAGTGTTGGCACAACCTTTGATTTCAGCACTTGGGAGGCAGAAGTAGGCAGATCTCTGTGAGTTTGAGACCAGCTTGATCTACAGAGTGAGTTTCTGGAAAGCCAGGGCTACACAAAGAAACCCTGTCTCAACAACAACAACAACAACAACAACAACAGACAGGATTCTTTATAGCCCAGGCTAGCCTTTTAACTTGCCGTGTAGTCAAGGATGACTTTTTAGTCAATGTTTTATTGCTGTGAAGAGACACCATATAGAGGAAAGCATTGAACAGCGGCTAGCTTCCAGTTTAGAGGTTTAGTCCAGTATCATCATGGCGGGAAGGGCATCCTGCATGGGTTTCTTCTCCAGCCTGAATTCTTTAGATTTCCGCTCAGGTACTCCATCCTCCACATGTGCACGTGCTCGTGGTATGCACACCCATCACTCATCCCTCCCTTCTTGTACTAATGTTCTGAGACATAAAAGGGGAAACACACACACACACACACATGGGTGGATACACACCCAAAGCCAGGTTCCATGGCTTGAGGGAAGTGTGTCAGGGCAGTAGAGACTATGGGTATAGCAAACAGAGCACTGGCCTGCTCTCAGCTCTGCCCCAGCCCCAAACCTACCAATGGCTCTTTCAACTTGAAAGAACAGTGCGCTCTGGATCGTGCAGATGGAACTTAGAAGTCTTAAAGGAGGAAGAAGGGATACTGTGGCCAAAAATAGAGTGCTGGGCACACAAGCACTCAGGCACAAAGATTTAGTTGGGTGACTAAACTAGACTGCCAACTGGGAAGGGATGGGCAGGGAAAGGAGAGCCCTGCTTCCCAGCGTGAGTCACTTATCATGGGATGGCCCAGGTAGTAAGTGCCCAGCCAGAGGAGGTTTTCTTCTCCTATGGACAGTCTGTTCCTTAGTTTTCTTCTCCGCTCCTGTTCCCTCTCCCTGCTGCCTGGGACAGATCAGTCCAAGGGCAGCTTTCATTCATTCTTTCATTCCTTCCTTCATTCACCATTTATTCAACCATTCACTTGTTAACTCATCCATCCATCCATCCATCCACCCACCCACCCACCGACCCACCCATCCATCCATCTATACACTCAATATTTCATTCACTCCCTGCAGAACACTCAGGGTCCTGCTTTATAGCAGGCAGAAGGCTGGACACAGGGAAGCATAGGAAAAACCTCTGCTCCACATAGACTTATGAGTTCACAGGGATATAGACATGGTCTTCTCTACTCACCTATGTGCTTTAGGACTATGGGCAGGAAGGGGCACCTATTCAGATGCAGACCTCAGTAAACAGTGGGTGGGTGGCTGGATGGATGGATGGATGGATGGGTGGGTGGGTGGGTGGATGGGTGAATGTAACAATTTCCTGTTAAAGAACTGAAAAGCAGGATGCTCCAAATTTATGTTAAAGAGTGGCCATCAGGGCTGGAGAAGAGGCTCAGTGGATAAAAGTGCTTGTCACCTAAGTGCAAGGGCCTGAGTTTGATCCCCAGAACCCACATAAAAAGCTAGATGTGTGGTCTGCTCACATCCAGTGGGTGAAATGCTTACCATACAAGTCTGGTGACCTCGGTTTGGTCCCTGGAACTCATGTAAAGATGGAAGGAGAGGACCGAGGACACAGAGTTGTCCTCTGACCTCCATGCCATGGCATATGAGCCTCCCATCCCACCCTCCACAAATAATCATTTAAATTTAAAAAAAAATAAAAAAAATAATGTGGAAGTTGAGCCTATTTCTTCCCAGCCCCATGTGCCCAGAAATGAGACTCAGACTCAAAAATTATTTATAAATACCTTGGCCGTATAGCTAGGCTGTTCCCTGGCTAGATGTAATATAAAATATCTCATTTATGCTAGCCTGCATTCTGCCACATATGTGACTGGTTACCTGTGCTCAGGTGTCATGCATCTGTCTCATCATGTCTTCCCAGGCAAATCTTCCTGTGCCTAGCTCTATCCCAGAAATTCTTTTTACCTCCCAGATGTTCCACCTCCGTTTTCCTTCCCAAACCACGGGCTATCGGCATTTTAATTGACAGATGATGCATCCATACATTACATAGGATATTCTCTCTAAAAATTAAAAAGTAGGACATGTAGCAAGAGAGCCTGTAGTCCAGCCCTGCTTCAGTGAGATGGAAGGTGGAAACAGGTCCCCAAAGCCTGGAGGCCAGCTGGCCTGGTGCTGGAGTGATTATCTAAGAGACCATGTCCCAAACAAGGTGAAAGGTGTGGATGGACACCCCAGATTGTCCTCTGACCATAACGCATGTGCCTCCATGCATACATAAAAATACATGAAAAATGTCCCTCAGGGTTGACTGCCTTATTAGTTAAAAAGCTAAAATGATGGATTTCATGTTATCTTTAGCCTGTGCTTGGAGTGAAGGGGAAGAAAGAGTCAGGTGGGATGGCCTTTATCCAGCATCCCCATGGGGAAGCCTTTCTCCATCAAGAATAGGCAACTTCAGCCCGGCAGTGGTGGTGCACGCCTTTAATCCCAGCACTTGGGAGGCAGAGGCAGGTGGATTTCTGAGTTTGAGGCCAGCCTGGTCTACAGAGTGAGTTCCAGGACAGCCAGGGCTACATAGAGAAACCCTGTCTCGAAAAAAACAAACAAACAAAAAACCAAAAACAAAACAACAAAAAACCAAAACAAAACAAAAAGAACAGGCAACTTCACCCAGCCAATCATGGATCTCAACAGTGCCATGTCATGTGCTTTTCCTGGGGAGCTGTGAACATCTAGTGACCCAGATAGGGCTCAACCCAGTCTAGCTTGGTGAGCCCATAAGCTCATCAGGTTTCCCTACATGATCATGGGTGAAAAGCTACTTACAGGATTATGACTGACTCCCTCCAAACAGCTGTACCAGTGAAAGTCCCACCCCAGTATAGGTGCAGGTCTCCCTCAAATCTCTATACATGGAGTTCCCCCTGCTTCAGCTACCTTTCTATCTCCTATGTACTCCAGCACATCCTCACATACAGGTGGAACAGAATTTTGCCCTAGGGGCATGAAGGGAGCATGCAGGAGGGAGTGGCTAGGGTCTCAGGTGAGGGACTGATGGGGGTGTTTGAAAGTCTGAGGTGTGGGCAGTTACAGATGCTGTGCCTTCAAGGTGGTGGTGGCTGTGTCCAGGACAATGTTCCCAACATCTCTGAGGAGCACTTTTGTCTCTGTGTGTGTGTGAACAAGAATTTGTCAGATCAAAATGGATTCGCTTATGTCAAACTCTAACAGAAGTCAGGGGTCATTGTTTTAGTCTACTCTCTCTTGCTTCTTGACCTCTTGGCTAAGATCAATTGTGAAATACTGGTGACTGGGAAATTTATAGGAGAAAGAGGTTTATTTAATTTAGGGTTTGAAGTCTGGGGGGGTGAAGTTAGACAGCAATGGGTAAGAGCCTTCTTGCTGATGGGGCCTCTGAAGGGTCTACAGGCAGGATGGGCTTCAAATAGGGCAGGAGATGCAAAGTAGACACTGAGAAGCATTTTAAACAGATACATTTCATTTCTACGTTACCTATATTTGCTTGTGTATGTGAGTACACACGTGGGTGTACCCACGTACCAAGGTATGTCAAGGCATGCACATAGAGATCCAAGGACAAACTAATAGGAGTCAGTCCTCTCCTACCATGAGAGGTTCAGGGATTGAACTTGTCAGGCTTGGCAGCAAGTGCCCGTAGCCACTGAGTCACCTTACTGGGCCAACAGGTGGCTCCTCTTCCTCCTCCTCCTCCTCCTCCTCCTCTTCTTTTTCTTCTTCTGCTACTTCTTCCTCTTCTTCTTCATGAGATAGGGTTTCTTTGTGTAGCCTTGGCTACAGCGGAATTCACTCTGTAGACCAGGTTGCTCTTAAACTCAGAGATCTACCTGCCCCTGCTTCCTGAATGCTGGGATTAAAGGCGTGCGCCATCGTGCCCTGCTCCCAACACGCCTATGCTTGAGATAACACGTTTACCCAGTAATCTATGTTCGAATCCCTATCCTTTCTCTAAGAAGTCCTGGTGAGGTATTGATAGTGTAGCAGAAGCTGGAGGCCTTGGACCAGACCAATGTCGCCTTGCAATGAACATTTGCAAGTAAAGAAGTGCGGACAAAATGGTATATTGTGGGACACATTGTGACACACTACAGCTTCCATAAGAGGGTTTTTGTTTGTTTGTTTGTTTGTTTGTTTGTTTTTGTTTTTTTTTGGGAGGGAGGTTGCAAGGGCAGAGGGTGGGTGAGAAGAGACAGGTAGATGAGTGGGATTCAGGTGCCTGATGTGAAATTCACAAAGAATCAATAAAAAGCTAAACAAACAAACAAACAAACAAAATAGCAGTTCTGACCAGAAGAGGAGGAGAAGGAGGAGGAGGAAGAGGAGGAAGAGGAGAAAGAAGAAGAGGAAGAGGAAGAAAAGGAAGAGGAGGAAAAGGAGGAAGAAAAAGAGGAGAAGAAGGAAGAGGAGTAGGAAGAGGAGGAAGGTGAGGAAGGAGAAGAGGAGGAAGAGTAAGAGTAGCAGTAGCAGTAGTAGTTGTTCAGATGACTGAACCCAGGGCCTCAAGGATGCTACACAGGCGCCCTGACACTCAGCTATGCCCCTAATTCTAACCCTCTTTTTACTATTTTATTTAGAGACTGAGGTCTTGTTAAATTGCCCAGGTTGACCTTGAACTCGCTCTGTAACTCAGGCAGG